CACAATGTCACGTGACCACAGTCTTTAGCAATGGCAGTCTCTGGTTATTGCCATTAAGCGAATTATTGTGGGTGGTTAAGTCAGGATGTCATGTGATCCAGCTTCCCCATTGACTTTGCTTGGGAGAAACAAGCAGGGATGGTTGCAAATCACGATCAACAGTCCAAAATCCAGGCCATTTGCCAAGTGACCGGATCATGATTATGTAAAGGGGAGGGAGCCTCTGCAACGGATGGAACTTTGAGGAATGTCATAAAGTATCGCTTGTTCAGTGCCTCTGTAAGTTCAGATGGTTGTTGAATGAGTGGTCGTTAACCACCTGTACTCTTACCCTAGGAATCAAATCACTACTACTCCAAATACACAACTTGCATTATTTTTTTGTTCCTAACAAGTGTTAGCCATCTCCTGAAAACTATATTGATACATGTGGAATAAAATGATTGAACATTTCTGTGTGTTCATATACATTATACACTATTATTTAAAAAATCTGCTTATCTGTCATATTTTCTTCATCTGATATAACCAAATATAAAGCCATCTGACCTTGTCTTTTTCTGTAGCTCGGATGTCTTCTCTGCTATAATGGAAGTGAAGAAGAAATCATAATCTTGCCATTTTCTTTTCTCCTCTTCAACTAATCTTACAGAACAAGGGACTTTTATCTCCCCTCCCTGTGCATCCTGCTCCCTCCCTTCCCATTTTTTACAGTGAAGTATTTACATCGCTACTGCATAGAGGCTTTGTAAGATTTTATCTTCTAATATTGTAAACCACCCAGAGATACTCTTGTGGTTAGGCGAGCATCAATATTTAATAAAATAAACATGTATATTGTGTAATTGTATAATTTAGAAAGAAGAGTTAGTTAATTATATGAAAAGGTTATATAGATTCTAAAGCAGAGCTTTAGAATCAACAATATTTCCAATTCTCATTATCACTCAAATATCAATAATGAAAATGAGATGGAGTGTTAACATACTGTAGCTGGCTTATTCTAATGCCATCTTCAAAAGATGCCCACAATCAAGTTTTCTTCATACCGTATTGTTCCACGGAATGGGGATTTTAATGGTGTAGAACCAACATACAAAATATGCACCTTGGCAAAACGAGAATTAATACTGCAAACCTAAAGAGGAAGGGAGAAAGCAACTTTTAGCAACAATCTGTTCTCTCTTATAACTTCAGGATTGTAATGGATAATAGCAGTTCCACGTAGTGAAATAACCAAGCTAATCTCCAAGCTGGGATATATAATCTTTTTCTCTTTCTGTAATATCTCATTGGACCTGCTAAATATTGAATGCAGGGACGAAATAACTAAAAACATATAAAAACAAATACAGATGGCAACATTGGCAATATATTATGATTATAATAGTGATCTAGGCTTCACATAATCATTTTACTGTAGGGAAAATGAACCCATATTTAACCAATACCAGAGAAAAATTAGACAAAAGCCTAATTTGTTTCATTCATCACATTGTTAGCACATCTAACATGAGCTTCCAAAGATGAATGATCTTCAAGGGAAAAAAAAAACCCTACTCTTCACTTATGGATAAATATAGCATTCTATCTATTTGTATTACCTTTTATTTTCTTAACACTAATAGTTGGATTAAAAATAACAATGAAATTATTAAGTAGATCTGCTGAGGCTACCTTGCAGGTCACTGTGGCTCCCACATCAGGCAGTAGCTGGGATTCTACATCTCTCATCACAGAGATTACCGGGAGCTGTAGGGAGGGTGCAAAACCAGCATAATTCAATCATTCCCTGAGTATTGAACTACCACCAAGAGATCAACTGAAGTCCAACCCCTTCTGAATTGCCAGTATGTCATCATTCAAGGCATGAAATCCTTATCATCCCTCCCACTGTCATCCACAGCACACATTGGTACATGCGGTCCTTGTTTAATGATGTTTCACAAATTATAATGGTCTTGGAGAGGGTGCTTTACGGCCCATAAAACACTTTTGGCCATTGTAAAATGTTGCATTCTCCCCCTTCTTCATCATGTGATTGCATTTTGGGCACTTGGCAACAGGCTCAAATTTACAACTGGTTGCAGTGTCCTGCAATCATATGGCCACAATTTACAATGTTATTTTTACTGGTTTCCAGCATCTTTTGCTGTTTCTGGATTCAGACTTAAAACCGCATGGTTCATTTAACAAACATGTGATTTGGACTTACAATTACATGATTATCTTAATGACTGCTGTAAAAATGATAATAATTTGGATACACGACTTACAACTGAAATCCCAGTCACAACTGAGAAGTTAAGAAGTATTTCTATGTAGAAATACTTGATTCTCACCATGCCATTCTCACTTTTCTTCATGAAACAACCAGCCAAAGAGGCAAAGATAGAACCATGGCGCGTGTAGGTACCATTCCCAGGGGTTCCTTCCTCTAAACTGCATAGTCGCTCTCCTGTGAAATAGAACAAAAGCCAAAACATCTTATTTTCTAAATCCTCATGTCTGATTGCTCTGACGAGAAATTATTTCCACTGTGACACATGCGCATGAGTTTGTGTGTAACACAAATAGATACTACAGACAGAACAAATGAGTAAAGAAAAAAAATAAGAACACAACCAGATCAGGCCAAGAGCTAATCTAACAGTTTGTTTCTCACCATGGCTAAGCAGAAATCACTGAAGTGTTTTCAAGCAGATGGCATTATATCCAGGGGTGGGATTCAAATTTTTTAACAACCAGTTCTGTGGGCATGGCTTAGTTGGTGGACGTGGCTTGGTGGTAATGTTATTGGCTGGGCATGGCCAACTCAATATCACTCACATCGAGGCACGCATCTCCTCGCCTGGCCTCTCATGACTGTGGGGATGCTGCAACAGTCGTAAGTGCGAAAAATGGTCACAAGTCACTTTTTTCAGTGCCATTGTAACTTTGAATGGTTACTCCACACAAGCAAAGTACCGGCAAAGGAGGGAAAAAGAACTCCAGAGACGTTCCAGAGACAGGAACTCTAGTCCTGCCAAGAATGTAATAAGGGTTAATGGAGAGACAGATTCTGAAAGCAACATCAGAATGTTTCCTTCCTGCCTTCCTTACAGGATTAGGCCAGTAATTTCTTCTAACAACCAGTTCGCCGAACTGCTCAGAATGTTAACTGGTTCTAGCGAATAAGTGCAAACTGGTAGAATCCCACCCCTGATTATATCTACAGACATGCAGTCCTAATCTGGAGGTGACAATGTATCTCAAGACTGGAAGCCTATGATTGATGTCATCCATGAATTTATCTAATCCCCATTAAAACCTCCAAATAAATTATTTTTTACATATCCTGTAATTGATTCCACAAAATAATTTTGCACTATGTAGAAAAAAGCTTTCTTTTGTCAGTTTTAAACATCTTTCCAACCGGTTTCGGTGGATGGCCCTAATCCTAACATTTTAAGGCACAGAGACACTTTTGTTTTTGTACTTTTTCCATGGCATGCATGATTTTGTACATCTTAATCATGTTCCTACTCAAGTAACCTTTCAAAGTAAAGAATTCTACAAGTCCTAGTTTTTCTATTCATTGGGAAAATGTTTTATCACTTTGCTTATTTTGACAGCCCTTTTCTCCACTTTTTCCATCTCTTTTATATCATTTTTTCCAAAATGTATCAAGCACAACTGTACACTATAAATGCATATCAAAGACTTGTCTATAGGTATTACAATGTGCCAGTTTTGTTTTCATCTGTTTCTTAATGATTCCCTAGTATGAAGTTTATATTTTCACAGCTGCCATACAAAGAGTTAATATCATCACTGAAGTATCCACTATGATTTCAGTGTCGACTGGGATTTCTTTCATCTATATGTACAGATACGTTTTGCCTAAAATTAATTTAATTGAATCATACTTGATTAGTACTTGATTATTCACCCATTTTAAACAGATTCTTCTAGAGGTTTTCATATCACTTTTGGTTTCGATTATCCTAAAAAATTTAGTATCATCTGTAAACTTGGGCAGCTCCATACTTTAAGATTATTAACAGTTAAAACTTAAAAGACCTGGTCCTCCCATGGATCTTGGAGAATTCACTTCTTACTTGCCTTCACAGCAAAAAAAGGCCAATTTATTTCTAATTTCTGCTTTGATTTTTAAAATTAATTTACAATCCTGTAGGAATAGGTCCTCTTATTCCATGGCTGCTAACTTTATCAAAAGCCGTTGAAGAAGAACTGTAAAGGTTTTCTGAAAATCCAAGTGCACATAATGCTCTGGTTGAAAGCTTTCCCGAAGCATCTAAACCACTGGAGAGGCTGCTAGATTAGATGGTGAGGACCGATAAAATGCATAATACAGAACCGTGAAAGTTGTCCCTTTACTAGAGAGGGTCGAATGACCATTTGTTGGGGAAAGTAGAGGATTCCTCCACTGAATAGAGGGTTGGTCCTCTGGATGATCTATCAGATCCCTTCCAGTTACATTCGTAGATATATTCTATGAACTAAAACCGATTCCGACGCCCGACAAATCCTATGATCACGGCCATCCGTGTCGTACAAACCAACTCACAGAGCCCCAAATTCAGCCTCTTATCGCTCTGAGGCTGAACCGAATACCAGACACTTTACGCACAAGGCTTTCTGGAGCTGAGCCCAGGAAATTAGCGCTCAACCCAGGAACGGTCCCTTTTAGAGCGGCTCCCCACCGCCCCTCTCCCGGTCACCCACCAGGAACACAGTAGCGCGGAGGAACCATGCCGGGTCGTCACCGAAAGGACTTCGCGCTAGGCCGCCTCTTCCCCGCGGGAGGTTGGAATTGTCATTGGGCCATTCCACGATCACATGACTTCCTCCAAGCACGCGTTCTTCTGAATAGCAGCCCACGACCGAACCTCGAATGTTGCAGCACAGTGACTGTAGCTAGGAGGCCGGCGGAAAAGAATAGCCCTGGAAGCGCACTGAATGACGGGAAGTGTAGTTTCATTTAGCTTAGCCAACGTGTAGCCGCGCATGTGCGAATAAGGATAAGGATGGGGGGGAAAATGATGCCGGGAAGACTGCAATTGTTGAAGAGAGGTGTATAGAGAGGGGTTGATTGAACCCCCAAAATGGCAGCTCCAGGTAAGCGCGAAAGAGTTGGAAGGAAACTGATTTTACATGATGTCTATTGGTAAATGGCCCTTTCCCACGTCTTTGGGTTCCACCGGCTGGCGCCTCCAGAAGTTCCTGCAGTGCTTCTTGCTGAAATCTCTGATCGTCCCCGTGCTCTTGGCTTGCTTGTTGCTGTGAAACGAAGCTGGGATGAAGTCTCCTTCGCTGGCCGAAGAATTGCCTAGCCGCCTCCTTGAAATGCACGCAGGCAAGGATGCTTTGTTTTCTCGCGTCTGTAAAAGGACGATTGGCCGAAGCAGGCGTGCTTCTATTTTTTTTTTTAAGCCTTGGCCTTCTCCAAAGATTCCGATGAATAGATGCCACAATTCTTTTCTTTCTCCTTCGCCATCTGTGATTTTTATTGCCAGAGTCATATGTGTGCCTAAGTAGCTGAGCTTTGCACAGAGGCGGAGTTACAGCCCGAGCTCACCTTGTTCAACTTCCAAGAGTCAGGAAGTATTACAACCTTTAGAAAGCGGTCCATTGGCTCTTCTTCGTGGGTTCCGTTATGTCGTGGGTGTCTTGGTGGAAATTTGGTTGGCAAAAGACAAGTGTGTTAGTAAATATTTGGTATATGCTTACATTATTTTTTTCTGTAGCCTACTCGTGCTTAACGAATTAATGTAAGCATTTTGTCCCGCAAGAATTATCAGGGTCTTCTGATCTTCCCTCTAAATATCTACCCCAAGAAAACTACCGGTAATTGAGATCTATTCTTTGTGAATATTATACAGCGATTATACAACGATCTGACAACATTGCTTTTTAGTGGATAATTTTTTTGGACAACAAGAAGTGTGCTACAATATTACAGCTGCCAAATGAAGTGGATTCAGGTAATTCTTGACTCACCATGAAATATTTTTGTGTGAGAAACTGATATCCCTGCTTAATCTGGGCAATCATATTGTCTCTTGAACAAAGGGTGGGCACCCTTTTAATACTTTGGAGGAGGGCCTTATTGTATTTAAAATCGGTAGTGGAAAAACCAGAAAATTTGAGGCAATAATGGAATGCAAGCAGATAGATTTAGATTTTTCAGGATAGCAGATATTTATTGTTTATAATTTTCAGGTTGATTTTGGGTTAGGGTTAGGGTTAGGGTTCCACATATTTGTTTGGTTTCTTCTGGAACTTGGCAGGAAGCCACACTTCCTGCACTTGGTGAATTATCATCAAACTTCAGAATGAAGTTCCTCAATACCAAAGAAAGAATTCCACTCCATGTGCAGGGATAAACTTAAGAATAAATAATATGCTTCTACTGACTATTTGAAATAAGAACTGGGAGAAGAGAGAGAGATTAAGATTCTGTTGGCATAAAACCAGTAACAGTTGCTGCAGTTTTAGACAGAAACGTGTAGGTCTAATTTTACATTGGCTAAAATTTAATTTGATCTGCCATAGCATCACCTTACAAGGATGCTTTTGGCTCCCACAGAGGACTTCTCAGAGTCATTCTCACTTAATATTAATTGGCCAAGATCAGTTTTCTCCAGAGCTGATCCAGCTCAAGTTCCTTCTTGTTTTTTGATTAGCAGCTGCTTGATGCTGGAGTTATACAAACAGGTAAAAGTAATATTTTAAACATTTGGCCTTCCTTGGTGGCCATAGACTAGTCTAAGTGGGATGATTGGCTCAGGTGAGGCAAAGATGCCAAGGAAGAGATTAGTTTTGAGAGGGATTAATGATTATGGAATATTTTGGTATTTAGAAAAGATACAGATAAAAGCATGAACGAGGAATAAAAGCAATGATTTTTTAGAAAAATTTAAAGCTACATTACTTGTCCTTAAATATATATACATATATACAGTGTATGCATATATACAACATATATACAGTGTTAAATCTATAACCGTTCTATATAGCGTATCCTATTCAAGCGTATTGGACTAAATTCTAGTTATGCTTTAGCAGTTTAAATGATGTTCGTGTTGGCTAGAGATTATGGAGAACTGATGTCCAATATCTCAGAGAGCTGCCTAATCCTGGATTACAATTCCAGACCATGCCAGTTTCATCAGCTCATCATCCTCACCATTTGATATATTTTTGGCTTCCTCTGAGTTAGTCCATTTTCTCCCTTTATTATGGTTCTCTGCAATTATGCAGGGGGAAAAGAAACCCAAACATAATCATAAAAGATGTGCTCTTCAGGGAATTGTAGAGCAAGTTCTGAGCACCTTCTGCATTTTGAATACAATATGCATGTGGTCACACAAGGTATCTTGCTGTTCAGCTTAGGAAAGGAAGCAGAAACAAAGTCACAACCTTTATTACTGTGTTGTTATCCCCATTGGTGTTGTGGAAGAGGGCATAGCTCTTCCATTAATGCTGCACTGGAGACATCCAAAGTGAGTGATTCCCCAGCCACAATGCTAACCATGACTGCAAGGATTCTTCACCTACTTGCAATGGGGCATTACCTAACAAGATGATGATGGAGCAATATCCAGAGCACTGCTCTGAATGTCTGGTGCCAACGTTTTCCTCACCAAGCCCTGTGAAATATTTGACATTTCCTCCTTTCTTCCCAGGTTCTGAGCTACAGAGATGAGGAGTCGCCGCCAGATGTATTATTCTGCTGTCATGCGTTTCTTCCTGAAGTGTTTGCGGATAGGTCAGCGGCGCCGGTTCTGGCTGACCCAGCAAGTGGAACAACTGTGGCTATATGGGCATCTCTGTTTGCGCTCTCTGTTTTACAATTCTTTTGCTGATAGCGACACAGCTCTTGATGCCCTCTTTGAACCTATATACTGGCTGGTGGATCATGTCACTCGTTGGTTTGGAGTGGTGAGTACTAGAAAAACAAAACAAAATTGGGAGCTTAAGGAGAGATATTTTCTGTATTAATAAAGTTATAGCTCCAGTTTTCAAGCTACATACTTACAGTAGCTAGTTCAAAGTGCTTAAGTAAAGCCAGGAGATTAAAAAAAAGAACTGAAGCTGTGGGAGGATGTGCCATTAGGACTTCATAGAATCTGTTAACTATTATCTCTTTCGGCTTCCCAGAAAACAAGATGAAATAATAGAAAGCTCAAACCTTGCAAGAAATAAATAAAGCAGGAAAGAGCATAAAGGGAATGTATCTGCCACACATCCTTTCTCTTCCAAAGGGCTGACTTGAAATATAGTATCTTGCTAGCTCAAATTCCTTTATCCCTTCAACAGGTATTTGTGGCTCTGGTGATAACACTGACCACTTCTGTGGTGGCCATAGTGTACATTTGCCTCCTTCCAACGATTCTCCAGACCTATTCTATTCCCTGGATCTTCTGGCATATTATCTATGGCCATTGGAACCTTGTCATGATTGTTTTCCATTACTACATGGCTATCACTACTCAGCCTGGTTATCCACCACAGGTAGGACTGAGGCTTTAATATTTATATTTGGACTTCTTTTAGCATTTGATATTTCTTTTAGATTCATAGGCAGGGCTGCTCGGCATGGTTTCCAGTCTTTTTTCTGTCTATCTGGGTTCACACTTACTAAACTATCTTCCAGCCAACCATATTTCAGCTTTATGTGTTATGCAAACCATATGGTTAATTTATGATTCAGTGTGCTATGTAAATCCAGAACTCAGTTCACTATGGATAAATATGTTGTGGAAACCCGACCACTAGGCATTTTACTATGAAATGTCATGGACCAAAACCAGCTGGAGTTGTTCACATGCTATGAACAACACACACCCCAGAGTATGCCAAGAGCTTCTGATCATTATCTTTGGTAAGAATGAAAAGAATGAAAAGGCAATGTCTTTGCTACTCAACAATACTTACAATTGATTTTAGCCAAAAGTCTGACAAGCAATGCTCCACCATGCTCAAAAAAGCTGCTTTTCCTTTCCTACAGCACCCAAAGAATGATCTTGCTGCTGTGTCAATATGCAGGAAATGCATTGCGCCCAAACCTGCCCGAACCCACCACTGTAGCATCTGCAACAGGTGAGCCATCATTGTGTATATTGAAACGTGTCTGTATTTCATTTCTTTCATTCTTCCCTGCCACCTTTGCTTTTTTTTTGAGGCATCCTTGTTATCTGAGAACCTTGGAAAAGCTCAGCTCTTGCCCTCTTTGGCTACAAGGCATACGGTGACCCCATATGAGGTTCTGCAAGTTTCATTTCTTGCTGCTTCCTCTCAAATTATGAAAATTATTGATTAGGTTTGCTTCTGCAAATCTGTGAACATGAAATATTAGCCATACAACTCTTGTCTAGCAGAAGTTCTTAAGTATCTGTTAGTCTTCATTCTGATTGCCAGCTTCCCTTTAGTATATTCCTGCTTGTTATATTTTAACCAACTGCTCATTTAGTTGACTTAGAATAACATGTGAGCACCAATGCATGTATTTATATGGTGCAAAGTTTATCTGAGGGAGAAGTGAAGTGTTTATGGTGGCATTTTTAATTGCCTCAACAGTAGGACTGACTTGGTTATGCTGTGGGCTTTTGTTCTGTTATGCATGAGTACAAGTCTAATTTTAGAAGAGTATTTGTAGCTCAGGGTTGAATTGTGGAGTCCTGAGTGCTCACTGAGCTTGGGTGTTTTCTTGCAAACGTTTCATTATCCAACTATAGGTAACATCATCAGCGCAGTCTAATGTTCCCTATATTGTGTTTCAGCTGCATTATATAAATTTTGGATAATTTTTTTCCAAAGTAAAATTTGTTCTGATACATAAAGCAGGATTGTTTGTAAGAAGAGAAAAAGATTACACAAATCTGATAGATTCCTATATATGGATCTTGCACAAATTCTGTTACTGTTGGGATTAGAAATAGATTCTAGATTTAAATCTAAATCTATTTCTCTTCCTCTTGGTGAATTTCAATTTTTTGCACTCTTCAGCAATTAAAAATATTTAATTTCATCACCTAAAGCAATAACAACCAAACATTTGCTTTCAGTTTTTAAAAATGAAAGTTAGCCTTTTCAAACAGCTAACACTGTATATTTTATTTGTGATTATGCATCTATAGAGTACACACAGTCTTTGGGCACAGCAACTTAATGTTAGCTTTTGTGATATGAATATTAATAATTATAAAGTATTCAATAAAATCAATACATTCTTTGTTATTAAACATGCCAGCTGCACTGATTTCCAGTTTGCTTCTGGATGCAATTTAAGGTGCTGGTGGTTATCTATAAAGCCCGCATAGCATAGGGATGGGTTACTTGAACAACTGGCTGTGTTCTACCACTGCCTGGTTAGTTCAGTCCTGCAGTTGGTGTGTTCCTAGTTTCTTTGAGATCATGTCTCAGAACCTCAGAAGGATGACTTTTCCATAGCAGCAACTGCATTCTGGAAGAGGTTCCCCCACCACCAAGATTTGGATGACCCAATTCTGCCCTTTAGAAGAGCCATGAAGATTTGGTTCTTTACCCCAGCAGAGTGAGACCTCTCACCATCACACTTGCCATTTTTTATTACTTTCATTTTCTTGATTTTGCTGTAATTTCCTTGTTACGAGTCAATCAAAGTTATTGAGAGTAGGGTAGCATAAAGCTTAATACATTATTTTTATTCCCAAGACTGAGAAATAATGTTCATGATCCATTAAATCTCTACTAAAGGGGTAATATGCAACTCGGCCTCTGGTTTATTTTGTTTTTCACCTCTACGCTTGAACTATTCATTTGTTAAATAGTTATGCTGCATATCAACAACCCTTCTGTAATTAAAATGAATGCTGATTCCCTCCCACAGGTGTGTGTTGAAGATGGACCATCACTGCCGTATCCTTTTGCAGGTCTGTAATACGACTAAGTGTAAAGGATCAGGTTCAGGTGGATTGTTTGTTGAGGAAATTTAAGGGATTCTGTTCAGATAAACAGAATGGAATATCTTGAAAACAATTCTCCACAGCAAGTGATTTATGACATGCATCAGGAAAAAGTTTGACACCTCTTTTTAACACAAGCGGTTCACGTTGAAAGTCCAAAAGAATGCTATGGAAATTAGGTGTTTATAGGCTGGGCTGTTGTAAATGGGAAAAGGTTGGCTTTCTCCCTGGAGTTAAAGATCTTTAACCTGAAGAGACAGCATGGCTTAACAACTGTGTGGGACACTACAACCATCGCTATTTCTTCTCCTTCATGCTTTTCATGACCATGGGCTGCATCTACAGCAGTATCAGTGGCTGGGACATGTTCTGGGAAGCTTATGCTGCCATTGAGGTGAGCACAGGAGGCAACCTGTTTTCTTCAGGGGAAAAGGCCTTGAAACTTGCAGAGGTGCTGCCCTATGCAGCAGGGGTGCATATAGGCCAAGAATTGAATGAGGGTAACTGGTGGCCTTTTTTCCATCCGATAGAAAATGAAACTACTTGACAAGGAGAAACTGCACGTGACAGCCAATCAGGTGGGGTACTGCTCATCAGCTGTTCAAATCAAGGACAGTCAGAAGTGATTGTCACAACAATTCACTTTTAATTTCCTGGGCACACACGCTTTCCATTCTTCCTCACAAGGGAGCTATGGAATACCATTCAACTGGCATTTTGTCCCTATATATGGAGTTGACATTTCCCAAACCAGATGTTTTGTCTGCTTTTGAAAGATAAATGCTAATGGGGAGCGAGGAAAATGTGTCCTGGGTCCCGGTGCTCTGCCCATCTCTCTCACGACCATAGTCTTTGTGTCTTAAAAATGTACCAGGCTTGCTTGCTGTGCTTTCCATTTCATTTGTTCGTCCTAGAAAGCCCTTGGCAGCTTCTGGTTTGGGCCACTGCTTTTTCTTCCCTGCATTCTCACTTGCAATTGTGGCAACATTTGCTCTTACTTACAGACTTACTCTCAGACACCACCACCCATCTTTTCCTTCCGCCAGCGAGCTTTCCACAAGAGCATAGTGTACGCCTGGGTCCTCTGCAGGTAACTGATCCAGTTCTTTGATGGAAAGCATTGGGAGGGAAACTACTTCAGGAAACTTTCAGGGTGCTGCCAAGTGAATCTCGGAGTATCCCAGTTTGCATGGTGCTCCACCAACTCATTTTTACAAGTATTCTTCTCAGCACAGTTTGACATCCATGTTCTTTAAACTGTTTCTCTCAGTTCAGTAGCCGTGGCATTGGGTGCCCTCATGCTCTGGCACTCGGCCCTCATCACCCGTGGCGAGACCAGCATCGAAAGGCACATCAATCGCAAAGAAAAAAAGAGGCTACAGAAAAAGGGCAAGGTAAGAGCCACAAGGGAGAAAGAAAAAGGGGGACAGACCCACAGCTACTAACCCAAAGTTCTTTCTAGCATGCCTCTTAAAACCTGTACCTGTTTTAGATCTGCTGGTTTCACTTTTCTGTCTTTTAGAAACACGAGGCACTTTTTACACTGCAGTTCATCATAGTTTTAAATTTTATGCTACTTTATTTGGGTTATTTTAATGTGTTTAGAATTCTGTATACACATTATCATCTAGTAAAGGATTTAACTAATTTTTTTCTCAGTTGATTGTTTCTGTAGTTTTTGATGGTATCCGTATCACAGAGGTCTATGTATCACAGATAAACTATAGGCCTTTCTTTACTAGCAATTTAGAATTTATCAAGTAAAGCTCAGATCAAGATACAGGAAATTTTGAGGACAAAAAGTTCTTTTACTATGCTTGACACTTCTAGCACAAAAATGCAATGCCAATTACCATGAACTTTCTTTATTGTACATTTTAAAATTGCCTTGTATGCAGTTTGGTTGTTGTTAAATATCTGAAGTCCTTGCCAATCACAAATACATACACATCTTTTCTCCTCTATAGAGGAAGAATACTTGAGTTAGAATCAAAATAATTGAATAGCGTTTCATTCCCCTTTTCTCTTGGCTCTAGATATTTCGAAATCCATACAGCTTTGGTCCACTGGGCAACTGGAAGATTTTCCTGGGTATCGAAAGACAGCGGTAATAGATGTGAATGTACCACATATATTAGAATAGGATGGATGTTGCAATTGATGAAATTAATTATCATAACTGGAATTAGACTCATAATATAGTCATATTCCAAGTACCTGGCAATTAGAAAATGCTAACGGAAGCAATATTAAAACAGACTTCCTTGTCTTCCTGCACTGCAGGTAGTTGTTGATTTACAACCATAACTGGGACCAAAATTTTGATCAAGTCATGGTGCCACATTACCAATGTTATAACTATTTTTATGATGGTCAAGCAAGTCACAACATTCTTTAAGTAAACCATGTGGTCATTGAGTGTGAACCCATTTTATGTATTGGGTGTTTTTTGCCAGAAAATGGGGGAAAAGTTGCTAACAGGATCACATGATATGGGATGCTGCAACCCAGTGTAAATGTGAACTGGTCACCAAGCAACCAAAATGTGATCATGTGACCACAAGGGTGGGATGGCAACCATAACTTCGAGAATAGGTCATGAGTACTGTAAATTTTGAATGTATTGTAACTTCAAACTATCATTAAGTGACCAGTCATAAATTGAGGAGTACTTGTACACATTTCTTACTGAAGCCCTGCTCTTTTTCCCAGACACTGGATCACTCGAGTTCTACTACCTTCCCCACATCCCCCTTATGGATCTGGCTTGAGTTGGGAAACTCCTCCTTGTGTTGCTCAACAGAAGACGCCTCTTTTGGCGATTTGAATTGGATGAAGAACTAAGTGTCCCAGCAGGTGGAAGACTTGAAACCACAGGCTTCTTTCATTGGGAAGCATAACAGAAGACACGGTCCCTAAACTGGCAGACCAACACAATGGCATATCTGCAGCGAACTGCTCATCCCACAGGAGGCTGGAGAACCTCCAGCTGCAGTCTGGGATCTATTGCCTGTGTCTGTTTTGTTTTGCACATGGTCCAATGGGGCTGGAGCAAACTATTGAGAAGGGGCAAGTAGCTCTTTCCCTAACTCAAGGAAGTTAACTGGCGTATTAGGTCTTGTTGCTCTTCCTGTAAGGACAGATTTTTTTACCATAAAAATAAATATATATAAACAATCGTCTCCTCTTTAGTGGGAAAGGAGCAGTGAAAAGATTTAAATACAAAACTGTTGGTTCATAACTAACATACTATTTTTTTTAAAAAAATAGTAATTCTTTACTTTCAATACTGATTTCTGATTCAATGGTTATTTCAAGCAACAAGCAACATTGATACTAAGGAACATGTCCATTATCGATATCTATCCAGGCTATATTCAACAAGTTGTTTTTCCTGTCAATGGGACAAATTAATGTTTCAACAGCTACAACTCTAACATGTGTGATATGTTTCTATTACACACGTAACAAGGTTATTTTAAGAGAGAGGAGTCTAGAGTTATCCCTTTCCCCAACAAGCAGAAATCTGCACTGGGTCTCACCTGATTAAACCTTCACTAATTTAGTACAGTAATAATCAGAACATGGCACTATTGGCTAGTATCCCAACTCTTTTTGTAGCAACAATTACACACCCCCGTTAGCCAGAATGGTCTTGCATTTCTCCAGCTATTTATCAGTAAAGCACCAGAAAAGCTGTTAGTTATGTAGAGTATTGAAACCAAATAGTTGAGCATTTAAGACTGGAGCCCTACAGTTTATTATTTGTTCTATGTTCAATGAACAGAACATCCAAAAATTATTTTATGAAAAAAAAAAGTTGAAATGGTGTGGTCTTTTAAACTGAATTTTTAAGCAGTCCTTCCTAGCTTTATATTCCAGCAAATTTGACTCTTGTGAAGTGCAGCCTTTTCCTAATATTTACAATAGTATACAATATCATGATCACTGTGCAGTGATCTATTCTTACCCACTTTCTGTTGCAATTCTGCTATATTGGTTAATGAGATGTCCTTCGACAGTACTAAATCAAGGAAACCTGTTTCTTTAGTGTCTTTTAAGCAGGGCAGTATCCCAGTGTTAAGGCTTTTCAAAATTAGTCTGAATAGGAAATGCTTCATAAAAATCTAGGTGGCATACTAGGTGGAATACTAAACAGCACTAATAAAGAATATAAGGGATTAGATGTTGCCAATTTTACATCTAAATAGTTTCATCCCCTAAACTAGCTTGGAACTGTTCAAATCAGCATGGTGGATATTATACTCACACTTCCCTTACCATCCTCTCTGCTTCATTTCAATTATTTCAGGAAATTTTTATTAAAATAAATGGGAGACTAGCTTACAGCAAAGAACCAGCCTTCACGATTTTTATTTCCAATATCATTTTTCAGCTCTAAAGGTCTTTTTAAAAATGAGGAGTAGTTTCAGGCCAGCACTTTGTTTCCTGAAGTATCCAACTTACATCCCACCCCCAAAGATATGCAGGGACAGCAAGTGGCAACCTATAGTTGGCAAATTGGTGTTTTATAGAATACCACATTCCTGTTGTCAACCATATAACATACTCTCAAGCAACTCTAAATGAGCCTTAACTCTGCTTTCAGCAGTTTATATTTTCTCAAACACAGCTACCCAAGATAGCTAAACAACTGTCTAACCTTTTCCATAGTTCTTGCCATTTGTATTTAGAATAATTCTGAATTTTATAGTTATCCCAAATTGTAATAATTTATTTTGTTTATGACTACATGTGTTTTATGTGTGCAAAATCACTATAAATGAAAATTGTTTGAATTCCTCTAATAGATAATTAGCTATGGTTTATAGTGGTTAATTTTTATACCACTAAATGAGGAATATAAGAACGTAGTACTCCAGCAACATGAATAATAGCAGAACTGAAGTCACTATGCTCAGTTCAATGTCTTTCTCTTAAGAGGCATCTTCTCCAGAAGCTTTCAACAAATGGGTTATTTATTCTTCTAACCCCATCTATTGCACACAGGAGATTCTGCTACCTCTATGCCATACTGCACTGCAGTAAAAAGTGAGGCTTGAGGGTTGCATCCACTGTGGTTAGGATTCCAGCAGCCTATAAAAAAGGCAATCCACTCCTAAAAAGGAAGGAAACTCCTCCAGTTTTGCTGAACTGCGAGAAAAATGGTCCAAGGCAAACAGCACAAAAGATTGTCAGTCAGGATTCAGAGAGTAACGTTTCACCTGCCAGGTGTCCCAAGCAAAAACCTGTAAAGTATAGATCACAGATTTAGATGAGAAGCGGAAAGGATACAAACTGCAAATCGTGCTTCCCAAAGCTTATTATCAAAGTCAAATTATTCAGGGCTATTTTAGCATTGTATGGCTAGTTTCATTACGGAGGCTTTTTAAATAGCTGATATCAAAGAGGTCTAGTTGATCAGGGCTGCTGTTAAAAAGGAAAGAAACAGAACTGAGGAACAATGTAAACCTTACCATTCTCCTCGTGCTATGACAGCTTCTTTACGTACAAGGCGCTTCTTGTCATCTAAAGGCTTGGCCAACGCTCGAATGACTTTTGGCTTGAATGGGATCACCTGTCAAGAATTGGAAAGCCCCATTTTAATGAGGACTCAACTAAAGCCCCATTTATAAACTCACGAGGGAGATGAACTGCCAAATTACCAGCCACAAATGCTTTCCCCACTTACCACTGGGGTAGGTAAGGAGGCAAGTGCATGGAGGCACTGAAGTGCAGCAATACGGATTGCCTGCAACACATAAAAGGCATACAATTAAGTTTCGAAGCTTCTTCCGGATAGAAAAGGACAAAATAAACCGAGGAAGGAAATACTACCCTACTCACCATGGCAGAATTGTCTGTTAGGTTAAGAAACTTGCCCACAAGTGTGTCGATGTGGAGATGCATAACATGAGGTGCATCAAGTAGCAATGGCTGTATGCAATGTAAAGTTGAAAGCTGCACCACATGGTCAGAACACGACAGGGACTCTAGTAACAGAGGCAGCAACTGTGAGGATGGATGAAGGAGAGAAGGAAAGGGTCACATTCTCTTTACTATTATACGCTTGGATTTAAGGAACCCACAACAGGTCAAGAGAACCTTGGCCATCCTTTTACACTCACTGTAGGCAGCTCTGTCACTAGCACTGGCTTGGGCAAGTGATTTAATATGTGAGACAGGCCTTTCAGGTAATTTGTTTTCACATCTAGGAGGAAAAATGCAGTCCAGTTAAGATTTTTCTACAAAAATATCATCGCAACATTCATTTGCATCAGATTCCAACAGCTACAGGCAGAGGCCCACTTGTTGGCAGTAAAAAAACACATCATTCTTCTATTTCTCAGTTCTTTCTCTAATGATGGAGCTGGCCAATTAATGCTGCAAATTCTCCTGTCTGCCCCTCAAGCAATAATAGAAAGCTCAAACCTTGCAAGAAATAAAGCAGGAAAGAGCATAAAGTTCCTTTTCTCCTATGGAGAGAGTATACTGCCTAGGAAATCTTTTAAGGAAAACACAAGATTTCTTACCAGGAGTGGACGTGTGGAAATTTTGCACCAACCGTGGCACACAATCTGTGAAGAAACGCTGGCGGAACATGAGACGCACCTCAGCATGACAGCTCTTGCCCAATACATCAGTAGAATCAGCCATGAGCAAGGCAAAGCCATCGCCCACTGCAGGGCCAAGAACGGTGTCCCCCAAAAGCTGGAGTAGCTGTAGAGCAAACAACAGCAGGACGTGTTTAAAAAAGAGGTCAAGGTATTAGGTCTTTATGAGAATCCCAGCTTTTCTCTGGAGTTTACCTTGTCAGTCAGCTGTGTGATCAATGGGTGATAGCGTAGCAACAACGCTTTGCTCACCTGCAAGGACAAAAAGATACAATAAGCTCTGAAACTAGCATGGAGGAAGCACGAGTATGCATACAACATTATGCAAACTTACCCACAACAGCAGTGTAAGGGCCTGGTGCTGATAGGGACCTTCGTTTAAGCCTTGTTCCAGCGTTTTTATGGCCGTTTCCAAGAGCTGATCTAAGTGTGTCCCTGAAAACAGTAGAAACAGCTGTTACACCTTTGTTAAGTTTTCTAACAGTTAAACTATGTAATATGTAGCACAACAGGGTTTGGGGTTTTTAGTTTTAACAGTTTTAGGGTTTCAGTAGCATGAGAGTATTACCCTAATTCTACGGCTTTCATTTATTACCTTCTGGGTATTTGTTGATCAATCCTGCAAAGCATTTGGCAGCGGCAGTAGCAGTGAATGGGCAGTCACAGGAACAGCTAAGAGCTAGTAGCTGATGCAACAACCGATCCTGCTGAGGAATTGCCACCTGCAAGGAGAGCAGACATTGCAGAAGGAAGTTAACAGGAAACTTTCCACTGACACCTCACCTTGGCATCACATAGTGCAGATCTATTCTCAAGTAAATTTCCAAACGTTCCTGGCCTACGATGTCCACAGTCCTCACCACCAGCAATGGTTAGAATGGTGGAAGTTGATGTGTGAATGTTTGAAAGGCCGTAAGTTATCCCATCCCATTCTCTAAAACCCCACTGAAAATTCTCCCCAGGACTCACTGTTCTTGGCAGTGAACATACGAAGGCCATAAGGAGAGCAACCAGTCTTCTTGGGGCTGCCGCTGGACATGGCCCATCCTGTAGAAAAGACATCGTTTTTACTATGCATGTTATCCAGAAACGTCTAAGAGTGCTTTTCCAAACACAGAAGAGCCATTTTGGTGTAGTGCTTAAGGTGCTGGACCAGAAACCAGGAAATCACGAGTTCTAGTCTTCCCTTAGGCACAGGAGCTGGCTGGTGATTCCGGGACTGTCACTCACTGTCAGCTCATTTCAAGGAAATGTGATATGGGGAAAATAGAAGGAGGAAGCCTTAGGAACACCACCTTGAATTGCATCAAATAAATAGCTGGCACAGATTAGGCTCAAATACCTGAAAGGGATGAAAAGGGCTGGGATAGTTGTTTCCAGGCAAGAAGGAAAGTTCTCCATCCAGGAAGAGAGGTACCACTTTGGACACACTCTGGGCAGCCAATCTGCCAACAATTGACACTAAATTAATGGACAGAAATGTCAAGAGAAAGAGACTACCAAAACCTCTCCTAATAATCTTTGACTTACATCAAGCAGAAACTCAGTCTTATCCAAATGAAATTCTAAATTGTACAGCATCAGAAACCACAAAGGACTTGTTACTTACTCTGGGCTTAAGTGCATGCAGGCCGCACTGATGACTAACACCATGGATGATAAAGCTTCTTCTGTTAGCAGAACTCTGTCAGGGGTTGTTTGAGAATTTTCTGAAAGTGGTAATAGAAATTGAGATGTTAGTTCTTATTAGTTCTTTTCGGGAGTTCTTTCAATGTATTGCCTAGCTGTTTTACAGAGAAGAAATTATTACTCATGAAGCGGCTCTGAACAGATGAGGGAGGAATAAAGGCCAGTCCAACATATGAATTTAAACACACAAAACTTGGGTGTTATCTCTCTTCTTGTTCAGAATTACAAAGACAAATAATATCATTAATCAATCTAGAACTGGGGAAAAAACAGTCCAACCTTAACTATAGGTACTGCTTTAGTTGAGAGGGTGTAAAACAGTGAGTATTTCTGCCATCCTACCTTCCAAAGCAGCTTGTACTGCTAAGCCTAGCAAGCAGGATACCACTTCCTGATGGAAATACCAATATGTCTGAGCATTTTTCTGGCACTGAAGGGCGACCTGTTGTAAGCTGTGGCACACAGATACCACTGAATTATTACTTGCTGGCATTTTGCCTGCAAAAACAAGAGCAAATTTAAAACCTACAACTCATGGTATTAAAAAAGAACTTGTATTTATTGATGATTCATATATTTGAAAAATGATCACTACATTGTCTGTAATTGAATTACCAACACACTGTGGCATAATGATTAAAAGTGCATCATTGGCAAAGCAGTTCCGCATACAATCATTTTGCTCCTCTCCATTGCAAGTGAGCAATCAAACCAGAAAGTCTATAATTTCTATAAAATGAATCTATTTAAAACGGCAGATTTTAAATCTGTACTGACCTCAAAACCAAACATTCAAAACATATTTATTTCATACTTCCAATGTTATACTACTATTTGGAGACTGGAATATTTCAAAGTCAGGCCTATGGTGCACGTAGTCTGAAAAATGATTTCTCAGCTTAATAAATCAAGATGTAAGATTTAATAAATCACTAGTAATTTCTTCAAAGACACCACACCATGACAATAATAGACTGCAATAAACAATCTGACAGCACATCTCCTTCACTATATGATTTCGTTTCTCCGTTTCTCATAAAAAAATTCTATTAGTGTGAAAAGTTTGTTATCTCTTATTTTCCCAGGTTGTAGGTATACTTTGTTGATGAACAAAAAGTATGTTTTCATAGTTGCTGGCGTGCATTGTGGAAAATTGGAATATTTATTGTTTTTCTTATTTATTTATTTAACAAATTTTTAACATTTTTATCTGTTCTGAGACACCCAGATTAGTTAGATGAGATAGATGGCCATACAAATCAAATAAATAATAAAATCATAGGAAGTCTGGAATTAGTCCAAACTTTGAAGTCCTGTCATATATAATTATAGAACA